CTTTCCCTTCCTTTCTTCCATCTTCTTTCCTTCCTTCCTTTTAATTAGGCAAGGTGGAATGATTCTTTTTAAAAATAAAACACACCCTTGCTCGAAGGCTCAGACTTTAGTAAAATAAAGTCCAAATTACCTATCAATACAAAACAAAGTACATCACAAATTACCATTTATCTACTTCTCTATATCACTACTACCCTTATTCTATACTAACTGTGTCTGGTTATATTTTATTCTTTCATCTTGCACATGTAGTCGCCCCTCCTAAAAATGTCCCTTACTCTCCTCTCATTCTTTCTCCACTTGGACACCTCCTGCTGGTCCCAGATCCATTCTAACCTGTGCCTTTTCTGGGAAGTCTTCCTTGAAGATCTCAAAGCTGAAATAACTACTCCTCCTCTATGGATTTCTCTTCTTCTGGACCTGTCATTGTTGATGTCCCTTGGAGCTCAATCCTCACACCTTTTCTTGTTTAAATTTAATCTCTCCCTCCCTTACCCTCCCCCCCAAAAAAATCCAGCCTGTGGCATTAAATACCATCTTTATACTGAATTCTAAATTTTTACCTATAGCTATGAATTTGCTATCTATTTAATATCTCCATGCAGATGACTACTTAATATCTCAAGCTTAATATGTCAAAAATGGAACTCTTGATTCTACTGCCCCTCCCCAAATCCATTATTCTCTCACTGTTTCCCATCACAGTGAATATCATTGTTATTTATCCAGTTTGCTTAGTTCGAAAATCTTGGAATTATCCCTGACTCTACTCTTTGTCTTATAACCCCATATCCAATACAGCAGTAAAACTTGGCATCTCTTCCTTCAAAAATATTTCTTACCACTTCCACCCCTACCACTGTAGTCCAAGCAACCACTATCTCTTACCTAGACTACTGCAATAACCTCCAAATTGGACTTTTCTTCCATTCTTACTGACCTATAATATATTTACTTTCTACACAGCAACCAGTGCTACTCACTAATATATAAAATCAGTTTATCACCATCACTCCAAATCTTCTAAAGGCCTCACACTTCATTTCAGAATAAAATCCTACTAGGCCAGAAAGTACCTGACTCCTGTCTTATCTCTTACCACCTTTACACCAATGAAAGACAAATCATTGCCAGACTAACCCCTTGCTATTCCTTGAACACACCAATACTTACTATTGTGCTATTTCCTCTGACCGAAATGCTTTTCTATTAGAAATCAAAATGATTCAATTTCTCATTTCATTCAGTTCATTTATTTTCCTTCCTAGCTCTTACTACTACCTGACATTAAATTACATTTTTTTTTGTTCATTTATCATCTATTAGCCACACTAGAGTATAAGCTCCTTAAGGTCAGGAGGCTTGTGTTTTTAGTTCATGCTTATAAATGGCCCAGTATGTAGCAGACACTAAAAATCTTATAGAATCAATACAATACATTGTATTATTCCAGTACTTTTCACATAGTTCTTTATAGAACTTACAGTATCTCTTTCCTGCAGACTATAAACTATAAGTCCAAGGACAAAGTATTTTTTCTCTCTCTAGCCAAGAATCTACCAGATTGTTGCATAGTAGGTAAGCAAACATATTTGAGATGGAGAAAATTAATAAATACCTTCATGATGCTTTGTAAGAGTGAAGAAATTCTTCTGAACAAGAAAGTGAAGAATAGTAGCTTGATTATGACACATATGGCAATAAGAGAAAAGTGCAAGAAAAATACCTTAAAGACCTTCTGATTCTTTTTGCCCCTTTTTCAGCATAAAAGTTTCCATCTGCAAGGGAAAGTTTTCTGGAAACAGTAGCTTAGGAAAATACACAACATGTAGCTACTATAATTGCCATGTTTATACTGAGTTCTGGGTTAGCTGGTCGGAGACAATCCTGGTAAAAATAAACTTTCAATGTGTTTTAAGTAATCAGTGTTGCCAATAAGTACTGTCGACATGACCTTTAGTGGTCTCCAGAACTTCTCTTCTACTAAGTATTTAACTCGCTGCTCAACCCCTAGGGCTTCCTGTCTGTTTTTAATTTTCCCTCAGCAATTTTAATGCTAAAGCAACAATAAAATACACAAGCCATCCTCTGGGAGGATATCTGACCATAATTTGAAAGGCCCTCATAATAAGAAAATTGAGATGGGTTCAAGGAAGAGTAGCAGAACATATTACATATTCCCCATATGATACACAAGTATAAATGAACTTCATGTTCTAACTCTCTAACTATTTATTCTCTGCTGAATATTCCTACATTTCCTTTCTTGGAGAAATTTTGGCTTCCGTAGTAAATTAAATGGAAATATTTTTTTGATAAAATTATTACCCATGCTCCACAACAATGTTAATGTTTAGGAGTAATTATGTTTCTTATTAAACTACCTAAGGTCATCCTGAAGTTCTCAAAGTTCTTGTTATATTTACACACTATTCTTGGGGCCTCTTTATTAAATAAGTCTTTTCTCCACTAAAAGAGTATCAATATTAATATAATATGGCATTATTGAAAAGCTTATAAGTAATGATACATAATACGGTGTACATTAAATTTTGTTTAAAGTAATTTTATCAGTAATGGAATAATCCATGGTCATCTTGAAAGTATAATGCTTCTAGCAGCTGACCCTATCACTTAAGTACATAAAGAATATTTTTTTGTTTGACCATCTCATTTTTTTCAGCTTTATTGAGGTACTATTGAAAATAAAATTATAAGTTATTCAAAAGGTAAATTGTGGTGATTTGATATAACTACATATTGTGAAAAAATTCCCACTATCTAGATATTTAACACTTTCATCACCTCACATATTTATCTTTTTTTAAGTGAAACATTTATATTCTGTTCTCTAAGCAAATTTCAATTATGAAATATAGTATTATCAACTACAGTAGCCATGTTTTACATTACTCAGACCTCACTCATCTTAAAGCTGAAAGTCTGTACCTTTACCAGCTTCTATTTCTCTCACCCCCCAATCCTGGAACAACTTTTCTACTCTCTATTTCTATGAGTTTGACCTTTTTTTAAAGACATATTAATGATTCCACAAATATCATGCACTATTTGTCAGTCTCCGTCTTATTTTACTTAGCATAATGCCCTCAAGGTTCATCTATGTCATCACAAGTGACAGGATTTCCTTTTCATGGCTAAATACTACTCCATTTTATACTCCATTTTATATCATATTATCTTTATCCATTCATCTGTTGATGGACACTTAGGTTGTTTCCACATCTTGGCTATTGTAAATAATGCTGCAATGAATGTGGAAGTAGAGAGATAGCTCTCCGAGATAATGATTTTGATTCCTTTAGATATACACAAGGAAATGAGATTGTGGAATCGTATGATAGTTCTATTTTTAATTTCTAGAAGAATTTCCATACTCTTTTCCATAGGGGCTGTACCAGTTTACATTCCCACAAACAGTGCACAAGGGTTTTCTCCACATCCTTGTGGGCATTTGTTATCCTTATTTTTTTGACGATAGCCATTCTCACAAGTGTGAGATGATATCTCATTGTGGTTTTCATTTGCATGTCCTTGATAATTAGTGATGTTGAACATCTTTTTCATTTAGAGATTTCATTGTCTTCTTTAAAAAAATATCTGTTCAGTTCCTCTGCCCATTTTTTAATTAGATTGTTTTGTTTCATTTGCTATTAAGTTGTGAGAGTTCTTTATATTTTTTGGATATTAACCCTTTATCAGATATATAATTTGTAAATATTTTCTCCCATTCCATCAGTTGCTTTTTCATTTTGTTGACAGTTTCCTTTGTTGTGCAGAAGCTTGTTGGTGTGATGAAATCCCACTTTTTAATTTTTCCTATTGTTGCTTTTGCTTTTGATGTCAAATCCAAAATACCACTGTCAAGGCTGATGTCAAGGAGCTTACTTTCTATGTTTTCTTCTAGGATTTTCATGGTTTCAGTCTTACTCAAGTTTCTAATCCATTTTGAGTTAATTTTTATGTATGGTATAAGATAGGGGTATAGTTTCATCGTTTTCCATGCGGTTGTCCCATTTTCTCAGCACCATTTATTTAAGAAACTATCCTTTTTCCATTGTATATTCTTGGCTACTTTTTTGTAAGTTAATTGACGATATATGCAAGGGTTTATTTCTAGGTTCTCTATTTTCTTCCATTGAACTATATGTCTGTTTTTATGCCAGTGCCATACTGTTTAGATTACTATAGCTTTGTATTATAATTTGAAATTAAGAAGCATGATGCCTCCAGCTTTGTTCTTCTTTTTCAAGATTGCTTTGGCTATTCAGGGTCTTTCTCATTTTTTTTCTTGTAACAGAAAAAGAATAGATTATTCCAACAATTTTTACCTCTCATAAAATATAATAAACAATATGAATCAAATTTGATTTCTTCTCTTAAATCTACTCTCAAGGGAAGGTACCAATAAATAGATAAAGAGTATAAAAGGATAGGGAAAAGTAGACACCGGCAGACATAAATCATGAGTTCAACTCTACAACTTTATATCTAATTAACATTAACTTCTGGATTTCAAAAGGGTGACATAGATTTGTTTCAAAACTAAAATAATGAAATAACAACAACAATACCAAAAACCCAAAGTATACAAGTTGGCCTTTAAGTCAAAATCGACTCTTTTAGTGTTTTAAGATATTGCCCTGTTACCTTTTCTCCCTAATACTTATTTAAAGCTCACATGGCAATATAAAGGAGTTTCTGAAGGCTCTTTGAAATTAAGGCATTTACTCTCCGGAAACTCATCTACCATCAGTCCTTCTTTTGACCAAAAAAGTATTATTTTTCCCATTTGATTTACCCCTGTGTGAAAACTAGTTCTATGGCCTTGCAAAATAATTATAAATTTCTAACTATAATAGCAAGTGACAAAAATTCCTCATTTAAAAATAAGGTTAAAAAATATATACTGGACATAGGATACAGAAAAGAGAGAACAGCTAATTTAAAACTTTTAATTGATGTTGATTTCAGCTATAACCTCTATTATGTAGACCATACTTAAGAACTAGCCATTTTCATGTACAAAATATAAGGAAGGTTTAGCGGTCACAGTAGTAGACTTTTTTTTAGTTTAAACACCCCCAAATTAGCATTGGTATTTGTTTTTCCAAGGAATTCATAAGCACTTATTCTCAATCACATGTTATGAATCATACTACTATGCAACCTGGAAGAAACAAAACCATGTTAGGTAGAGTGCCCCAGACTATGCATACCAGAAGCAGTTCTAGAGCCTTCTCACCTTAAAAGTTGTGGTGCCATAGAGTTTGGTGGTATGGACTGTCTCTGGAAGCACATTAGTGATTTTGGTGATGAATTCTTCCAAGTACTTACAGGATTTCTCCAAGTGTGTTGTATTGATAATAATCTGGACAAGCTAGAAAATAACAAGCATATGTAACAGTCATTTGACTATTCACCCGAGACAAATAGCTAAGTATGAATCTGTTGATACAACAAAAACAAAAGGTATGATAGCAGAGGCCATCTGTACTCTACAAAGGGTATTTTAAAGCATGGGCGTAGGTATGACTTCATCTATGAAGCCTTCTCTGACTTCCCAAAGTATGTTGTATTTCCTCCTATTATAGGAGCTCTTATCATTCTATTCTAAACACATGTTTTCTTCTGTTTAAGAAAGACTAGACTAAGAACAAAAACTGCTAATGTTTAGCATAGTAACTGGCATTAAATAATTGTCAAGTAAATTTTAAAATAAACTCCCACTAAAAGAACAAGAATAACTGAAATGGTAAGAAGTGGTTTCAAAATCAGGCATGATAAACAGAGAGATGTTGGAAATACGTTAACAAACTACCTTAGTCTACGGAAAAAAAAACATGGACACCATTTATAAATTATTGATCTTGAGAACATTTCTTAACTTCTCGAAGCCTGTTTCTTTATCTGTGAAATGTTAATAATAATTTCTAACAGAGTTATTGTGAGGATTAAATATTATTTTAACACTATTTCTCTTTTCTTACAGAAAAGATCCTTAAAGAAGACAGTACCAGTTAGGAACAAAGTCATCTACAAATTACTGTGAGGGGAGAATGAGGAAGGATAATTATTATTATCTGTATAGAATTCAAGTTTACAAAACTCTATGCAATTCATTTTCTTACAATGTCTTCCCAGCAACCTGGAGAAGTAAATTAAGTTGGAATAATTATTACTTATATTTTACTATAACAGAAACAAAAATAAAATGATTTTCCCTAGATCACATAAGCTGAATGGAACTAGGACTCAAATCCAGGTATCTACCCTCAGTTATGGAATCATCTAAATGACTTCTGACAGAGCCATTTATCACAGCATAAGATGGCAACTCTGGAGTGCTCATGTTTAAATGCACTAGGCTGAAATAGATTCAGGGACTGCCAACAACTAGACCCGACCATGCTTTGATTCTACTCTATGTAAAAAATAAAAAAGGACTGGTACCTGCTACTTATTTCAACTATGAACACTATTCATATTCCCCAGAGTAAAAGAAATACAAAGAGAACATGGAATGAAAGCTTTTTTCGTCTCTCTTCTCTACATCTTTAACTTTCACTTTCATAAGAATACGTTCTGATGGTAGGTCTGAGGCAGGTAAAGGGAGTATCAGAATATAAGCTATAGATGAACTTAGGGTCTTCTTTTAGTCTAGTGAGATAGTGAGCCATAGGAGAGTGGACAGATGACATGAAAGGGAAATTAGAACTAAAGATAAAGGGAGGATTTATACATTTTTGTAGTCAAATGATATTTTAAAACAATGTTTAAAAGGTGGAATTACACTTCAATAGAAGTATTATATTGTGGAATATTAAACAAAAATATTATTATTGACAGGACTATAATAAGAAGTATATTCTTGTATCCTCAACAGTACCCAGCACAAGGCTAAAGCACACAATTTTTTTCTCAAAATATCATAATGGCAATGCTTGAATAGAGAGGACTAAAGGAAAAGGTACTTTCTATTCCCGTAAGGATCAGCCGGAAGATCTGAGGAAAACAGCTACTTTTGAAATACGATGACAAAGAGCAAAGACCCAGAGATGCAGTTCCAACACAGATGAGAAGTCAGGACAACACTGGGACTAGATCCCCATATATTCCCACAACTAATTAGATAAGTTTATATTTGTCACTAGGCCCTTTCCATTCATTCTACAGTTTGAATTTGGAGACTTTGAGTTTTGGACACAAATACTACCTCCTGTAAAATTTCTCAAAACATCAGCCTTTTAGCTTTAGAGTGCTCTAGAAAAAACACGCATTGAAATAAGCAATTCATCACCCCCCACCCCCTTCTTTTCAACATGTTTCTCCCTCAAAAGAGAACTAAAATCATTAAAATAATTTTAATTGTCTAAATTAAATCACTCTTCTTCCTGACTGGGATGATGTCTATTGGCAAGGTTGTGGAAGTCAGAAAAGTAAGAGAATTAATTTGGAGAACTGAAGAATTTCTATTTTAAAACTAGCATTACCTATAGGGAACACATTCAATCTATCAAAAGCAATCCTAATAATAAAGAGGAATCGTGTCATGTTATCGAAATAAAAAACAGCGGCAGTCAAAAAGAAAATTGTCCTGTTTTGCAGGATATTGGCAGTTTAAAAAAAAAAAAAGGAGGCGGCTTCACTGGGTACAGTAGTAATTTCCCATGACTTTTTAAAGATCTGTCAACACAAAAGATCACCATGAATTACATCAATTGGCTGTCAGTCACTTTTGAAATGTTTCATTGCTGAGCATAGAATAGACTATTAAAACACTCTAGGATTACAGTAGATACCATGTCATTTTCAAAGGGAATATTGTCTCTTAATGAGGTCTAAATGATCTCTACTTCTGAATGACAGCTAACCAACACCCTTACAAGGGCATTTACAAATGTGAAGCCAGATGCTTTGGGGTAATTTTGAAGTAAGGATGAAATGAAGCAATTTGAGATATCAACTTCCATCAGAGTTTGAGCTCCTTTGATATTTTTAACCCCTACTTCCCACTCTCTTATAAAAATATATCACTGCAGCAATCTAAACTGTCCTTAATATTGTTTCAAGGACACGGAACTAATAATAGATTAGATACTGGTTATGTCTTATATAAAGTTCTTTGAAAACTGAACCCCCAAAAGTAAACACTATAAAGCAAACAATCACCTCTCACAACTAAATGACAGAAGTCATTTAAGTTAAAAACCATTAAGAAGCAGAACTTTTTCTGTCTCTCCTTCCTAGTATCACAGAGAATCTAACAAGTGAGGCATTCCACAGTGAGTACAGTGTGGAAGTCACTTCAACCCTGCTGAAACACCCGAGCAGAGCCTGAACCATGATGATAGAGGGATGTTCATATCCTGACAAACTCCAGAAAAGAAAATGTCTTCATCATCTTCAATAGTTCAAAACTAAGCCCTAAGCTCCAAGAAGTTTTCATTTCCAACTATAAACTATTTCTGGGGTATACACATCTACTCATCTTAGAACTGATATCGTGTTTCCCAAAGCAGAGAATTTAGTACACTGAATCTCCAAAAGGACTAACCCAAAGCCAGTAAATGAGAAGTCACACTTCCAATGCTTCTCATCTGTTAGCTGTCATTCAGAAGTTAGATGTGCAAGAAGATAAAGAACTAAATAGGAGCCTTGATTCTCATTCACAAAAATAAGCTATCCCTAAGACTTCAAGGAATTTTAATCTTCTGCAAGAGTACAAAAAGTGTGTAAACTACTGATTTTATGTCATGTCCAAGGCAAATACTTAAAGTACTAAAATATTTGGGACTACTGGTTCCAAATTCAAAGGTCTAATACAAACCTTATATTTGACAAAGCTTAAGTATAAAATGTTTTAACATATTAGCAATATCATTGCTGTCAACAACAGTGGATGGAGACAAATGGTATGTGGGAGATAAATAACACAGGATAGAGCCATGTGGTCATCAATGTAAATCATATTAAAAACAAAGGGTGAATGAAAGCATTGCTCATTTTTTCATGTCTCTTGGGACACTATTATAATCATAACAATATAAATATTCAATATCACTAATAGGAACTCTGAATTTCTCAAACTTTACCCTAAGAACCTACCTACCTACTTTCTTTTGTTTCTTTCTTCTCTCTTTCATCAGTTGAGAACTCCTACATGTCAAGGAATTGGGATATAGCTGTACAAAATTACACACAAAAGGCCCAGAACTCATGGACATCACAGTAAATGCATACACATATAAACACGTAGTAGAATGTCAGGTGGTAATAACCACTGGGAATAGAAGTGAGAATAAGAAGTTGCAAGGTAATGGTAGGTCTGAGCTATTTTGAGATAGGATGGTCAAGGAAGACCTCCTAAAGGAAACGACATTTGAATACGGACTTAAAGTGAAGATATCATATATCTATCATCTGTATTAAATAAGTTCTTTCTAATCCAATTTATGTCTTAAATCTTTCAATCAATACATTCTTCCCAAATAAGTAGGGTGTCCTTTGATTCATCTTAGAACTTTCTTTCAAACTTAACTCTCTGATATTCTGAGATTAACAAACTAGTGGTTTATTTCCTATCTCTCATAATATTGATGTTTTTAAATTAGCACAGAGAAAGAACAAAGGTTCAGAACAAAAGAAACACTATTTTAAAACATTTCAAATCTTATTTCTAAAAGAAAATGTAGTTCAAAACTTATCTCAAATCTTATTTCCAAACTACTTACTGGTTGTGTGGCCTTAGGCGAAGTTATTTTCTTTCATCATCTTAAAATTGAGGTAATAACATCAATGTCATACCAAAGAAATAATAAATATATTGTAAATAATTAAATAAAAATACTAATATAAGTAATAAAGTAGTATAATATATACCAAATTCCTGAGAGCTGTTATTGATATGCGCTTACTTATATCTCTAGCTAAATATGGCTTAAGAAATTATACAACTATGCTGGCTAGTTTCACTTTAATTCACATCTACTACCTTAAATGGCATTTAATGCTACAAAATAATCACATAAATTAAGCACAAACTAATTCTCTTTTCCATATACTGAGAAATACCTTCTCTTTCCTTCAACTCCAACATTTGTTCTTGATCTCTACTTTCAGCTGAACACCTTTCTTTCACTGGGAAAACTGAGCATTTGGAGCCTGCCACCAAAATAGATACTCAACTCCCATCAGCTGCATCCATATTCTCTGATTCTCATCTGTTATCAGAGGTGAACTCTTTCCTACTCAAGCACGTTACTCTAGAGACTCCCCACTTTCTCCTACATCATCAACTTTTTGCTTTCTATTGCATCATCGTCATCAGAAATAACATGCTGTTACTTCTCCTATTAAAACAAAACAAAAGCATTTGCTTAACCCACTTCCCCTGCTGGCTACCACCTCATTTCCTTGTTTACCTTTGTAACAAAATTATCTGAAACGGTTGTCTTATACGTGCTCTCTCCAATTCCTCTCTTCCATCCTTTAAATTTCTTAATTTAAATAAACACTTCATTTTAGGATAGTTTTGTATTCACAAAATAGTTTCAAAGAATTCTCAAATACTCCACACCCAGTACCCTCGACTGTTTACATTTTACGTTATTATGGTACATTTGCCACAACTAAGGAACCAACTTTGGTACATTACTATTAACTGAACAATACACTTTATTCAGATTTCACTCATTTCTCCCTAATTTTCTCTACCTTTTTCAGGATCCCACATTACATTTAGTTGTCATGTCTCCTTAGCTCCTCTGGTCTGTGACAGTTTCTCAGACTCGACTTATTTTTGATGACTAAAGAGTTTTGAGGAGTACTGGTCAGATATTTTGTAGAATATACTTCAACTTGAGTTTGTTTAATATTTTTCTCATGGTTAGACTGAGGTTATGGGTTTTGGAAGGAAGACCACAGAGGTGACGTGCCTTCTCAACACATCATATCAAAGGTACACACTATCGACACAACTTACCACTGATGATGTTAACCTTGATCACCTAATAGAGACAGTGTTTGTCATGTTTCTTCACTGTAAAGACACCATTTCCCTCCTTCCACACTTTACTTTTAGGAAGCAAGTAACTAAGCAGAGCCTTTACACAAGGGGTGCCACCTCCTTGAGGGGGTAATATCTACATAAATTATTTAAATTTCTTCTATATAAGACCCATTCCCTCAGTAATATTATCCAGTCATGTAGTTATAAATATTTTTATGCTCTAAAATTTTTATCTCCAGACAAACCACCTTCTCAAACTCCAAACTCATATATACAACTTTTATTAAATATCTCAAATTGTATGTCTAATAAGCTACAAATTTAACGTGCCCCAAACCAAATTCCCAATCTTCCTCCACTCCAAAATTAGCTCTACTTGACGTTCTTGTCATCACAGTTCATGGTATATACAGCATTCTAGTTGCTCAAATGAAAAAATCTTAGGGGTTATCTTCAACTCCTTACTTTTCACTTCCTTTACAACCAATCATCAGGAAAGCATGCTGGCTCTACACTCCATATCTGATCACTTGTCATGACCTTCATGGCTACAATCCATGCTTCCATCAAATCTCACTGGATTATTGTCATAGCCCCCTAACTGGTCTATTTATACCCTACAGTTTATTCTCAATACCACAGTCAATGCAATCCCTTTGAAATATGTCAGATCATGTCACTAATCAAAATCCTGCCATGGTTCCCCATTTCACTCAAAATAAAAGCCAAACATTCTAATATAGCCTGTCATGAAGAACCCTGTACTTCTTTGATCTAATCTCATGTTTCCTTTCCCCTTGTGTATGCCATTCCAGCTACCTTTCCTTACTATTCCCTGGACATGCCAATAACCTAACTACCTTCAGACCTTTGCTCTAGTTCTAACCTCTGCCAAGAATGATTGTTCCCCTTCTATGACAACTCACCATCAAGATGTTGCTCTTTTTAATAAAACCAACCTTGAACCTCTACCAGACTCTTGGTTTTCTTAACCCAGGTTCTTTCTCTTCCTCCATAGCATTTACCGCCTTTTATCATACTAGATGATTTATTTATTTAATAATTTATTATCTGTTTCCTGCTACTAGAATGTAAGCAGGATCTTTCATTGTTGTTTTTGTTGTTTACTTATTTATCCTTAGGGCTTAGAACAGTGCCTGTCACATAATAGGCAGTAATAAATATTTATCTTAACAGGGGATCTTGTTCTCATCTTCCGACTTCTCTTAACTGCATCTCTGTACTAGACCTGACAACCATTACTTGCCCAGACTTCTTCTGACTACTCTTCACTGCATCTCTGTACTAGACCTGACAACCATTACTTGCCCAGACTTCTTTCTTAATAACAGGCAATATTACATTGCCTTAATAACAGGCAATGTAAGTACAGCATGGTACTTACTATGTACCAGACACAGTTCTAATTACTTTACATGTTAATATAATTCTCACAACAATCCTATGAAATACATGTTATTATTGTACACATTTTATACATAAAGCCAAGTAATTTTCCCAAGAACACATCTGTTAAGGAGAGAGCCAGAACTGGAACCCATGTAGTCTGCTCTTACATATAGTGGGACTCTTAACCCACTGCTCAACTTCTCCTTTTCCTACAGACCTGAAAAAGCAGCCCTAATAAAACAGCTGTACCTGCTGATTGAACTAGGGATAGTGGCTTAAGGTCTGAGAGAGCAAGGTATTTAAGTTACAGTAGGTACTAGAACTGAAAGGTAATGTTGAATTGGCTCAGCACAGAGAAGCAAAGAAGCCATGAGAAAAGCAAGAAATACAGTGTATAGACAGAAAATGATAAAAAGGATAGAGCATATGGACAGAAAGAAGAAGAGATGAGATTTTATGGAGTCTCAAAAAAAGACAGACAGACATTAGCTTATAGAAACTTTTAAGTCTTAAAAAAATTATCTGACAACCAGAAATAGGATTATATTTTGAGTTTTGTGTACTTTTAATACTTCTATTGTTTTAATGTCTGTTCCCTGTCACAAAACCATCTCTAATAAGAACAATTTCCATGTTATTATGGGCTTCCCGTAAAAATCTCTATCTTTTGTTATTATTAAATAATTAAATCAATATGGAAGGCAGTACATATTGTAAAAGTGAATAAGTTTGGAGAAAAGTGACCCGGACTTAGGTTTCATTTCTATCATTTTGCTAGCTGTATGACCATGAGCAATCTCCTTGAACTTTAATTATACCTTCTATAAAAATGAGAATAACAACATGTGCCCAGCCTGCTCCAAATGTTACTGTACTAAGTGAGATGGTATTTATGAATGGACTTTGAAGAATACAAATTGTTCCACAAATCCTGCCTATTACGATGATGATTCCGAATGTGAATTCACTTTAGTTAACTACTGTAAAGGAGGATATAACATCTTCTCTTTTCAAAGGTGAGTAATCTAGTTATTCAAAGATTTACTGGTTGGTGATAAAAGAAAAATCACTGGGTATGTATGTGTCTATACACATACACACCACTATAGCAGCCAAAATAAATGCCTATGGATGTTCCTTTATTCATCTGCAAAGACAGTGATTATAAAAGTATATTTGCCTAAAAAGATCCAATGACTTAAAATAACATTTATCATTCATTTAAACAGTGCCAAAAATTATGATCTAATTCTCCTTTGATAGGCTCCTACTGCTTCTTCCTATTATTACCTGATCTGTACTGTGCCCTTGAAAAGGACAATAAAATCAGGAAAATCCAAGAAGTAAGAAGTCAGGTCTTTCTCTTAAGATGTCTCAGTAAATCAATGACACAGCAACAACTAAACTCAAGAGTCTTCTGAGGCCAAAGCTGTTTTTCTATCACACTATGTTCCTGCTATGCTACTTGTTTAAAAAGACTTTTTAAGAAACTATCAAATCAAATGGCATAAGAATTATATCAAGAGTTATAATGTAGAGATAGTTCACAGAATAAACAGCAAACTTCCTGTCCTACTTGGATTCAGTAAGGGAGAACAGTACATCTAACCAAAGGAGGACCTCCTAATTTTCACTCCAACTTTCCTTTTTTATAGCTTTCCCGATGATGAAGTTAGCCTATTCTCAGACACGCAAAAGCAATACTTAATAGTTCTATGCCTGACAATAAAAAGGAAGATCTGGAAAATGAAGATACCGTCCTAAATAATGTCAAATGCGACATTCAATTGTGAAAAAAAAAGTTTGTTATCAGTAGAATTCAGTTCCTGTCAAAATCCACATTATAATATTTTTAAATCATAACGTAGGGGAAAAAAACCAATCATTCCAAAATCAGAACTAAATACTCATCTGGCTTCCAGCTGTCTTTACCTATGGGTCAGTATCATTAACCATTTACTGACTTTCACTATAATCCTTGACAGTGGATATCTGAAAATGTCGATTTTTCATAGAGCAACTGCCTTTCAAACGACATTCACCTCCAACAGGTAAAACAGATGGCCAACAGCCTTTCTTTTCCCTGTGAAAAAAAATTCCTCCAAGCTCTCACTTTTGGCACTATAATTTCCATAAAATGGCAGGTTGAGGGTCACATGCAATCCTGGGTTCCAAGAAAAAGGGAACTTCGCATCTTTCTAAATTTTAGGACTTGATGCCAATGTGCCAAATCTTAATTTTGCCAAGATACTGTTCTCAGCATATGTACAATATCTCTCCTCCCTTTGTGAGACTGCATAAGCTTCCACAGAAATGTGATGATTGCCTTTCTCTCACATTTCCTCAATCTCAAATTCCCAGACTTACATGTTAAGAGAAATTTACCATTCATATACATGAGGTATCTCAAAATCAAGAGCTAAGTCTAACACTAACCAAGGACTATGAGTGCCGATATCCTTGGCATCAATGATTTATGCAGGCAAAATATGATCTCATATTGTATGTTGTATTTGAACTGTCATTCATTTGGATAGGAACCTGATGTTGACTGTATTCAACCAATAATTTTATATAATCAATGGCAAATAATACAAATTTAACTTAACATGTTCAGAAAATAAAACAAGTTAAGCTAGTGAAAATAATGTGAGAAGGAAAAAAAAGTGACTTTCAAAAAATAATAATGGATTACTCCAGAGTGACCAAAAACACAAGGTATTTATTTTGCACTTTCACCATTAGAAAGAATATGATGAAAGAACATGAGAAACCATACAGAAAATTATAATTAATTCACAAACAGACCCCAGAATTTAGGACACCTGTTGACATATTGCCTTGGCTGCCTCCATCAAGAGCAGCTTTACCTCAGTGAGTCCAATATTCTTCCTTTTAATGACATTCTGCAGAGAGTTGCTCAGAGTCCTGGTTAGCAACAGGTTTGTAGATTTACGAATCATGTCATCAATTTCAGTCGAACTGAAAAAGAAGTGTCAAGAGTCTTATTCCAGGTAACAGAATTATTTTGCAAACAAACAAGGTGCCAGTGGTAATTGTAGTAGTAGTAGTAGTAGTAGTAGTAGTAGTAGTAGTAGTAGTAGTAGTAGTAATGGCAGCAGCAAGTAACATTTATTGTTTGCCAGAAATTATTTGAAGTACTTTAATGAATTAAAATTCATTTAACCTTCACTATAACCATATGAAGTAGTTTTATTATTCTCTCTACAGATGAGGAAATGAAGGCACAGAGAAATTAAGTAACTTGCTCAAGGGTCACACAGTGAATACACAGCAAAAAAAAAAAAAAAAAGAACAAAAAAGATTTTCACACAGGCAGTCTAGCTCTAAAGCCCACAGTATTTAAGCACTATGGCTGTACTGTCTCTCTCAGGATAAAGAGTTCCACAGCATGATTCCTCATCCTAAAACCATTACTTCTCCTGTAGTTCCAAGTTCCTTCACAGATTAATATTCACAATTTTCCAACCCAGTCCCTCTGTAGATCTCCTACAAATTAGCTGATAAAGGTCCCTAGAAAAAGGTATCTCTTGTTCTTATATTATCATCTTCCATATAAAGTCTATTTAGCTCTCATTCCAAAACAAATGTTGCAAGCTAGTCATTTAATTCTGCATAATTGTTTTATAATCCCACTTACTATCCAAAAAGTGGTCAATAAAAATATTTTCTACTCAGTTAAGGAAACTAAACATAAGAAAATTATTTTAATGCTATTTTTATATGCAAAGTTTAAAAAAGAAAACAGTCTTGCAACCAAAAGGCTAAATTCAAGAGCTGTACATCCTTCATAAGTCCCTGAAAACATCAGCCAAAATGGCTTTCTATAAAAGATATCCTTTTGAGACAAACATTTCTTCAATGATAAGGATACTGTTGTAATGATACTTATTTATACAAGTCAAGAAAAAACTGTAAGTAAAAATGTATGAGCAGTTCTTTGTCAATAATTTATTGCTTGTAGACAATGGTCACAAATTTTATCTCATTGATTTCTCTTTCTACAGAAGGAAATCAGAGGCTTAGTGCAGTAGAATTAAAAATCTTAAAATACTAAATATACAAGCAAGCTACATTATCATGCTATGTGAGAAAGAGAAAAATATTAGAAACAAATAAGACTAAAAAAATGCAGGGCCACAATCAGTTAGGAAAAAATGATACACAAAAATATTATTATAGGGTCCATGTAACACTACCACCCTTTCAAAAATTATTATTGAATTGAAATTCTTTATTCCGTACGTATATAAGGTGCTAGGCACTGTGTTAGTAGAATACTGAGATCACAATGGTGACCAAAATAGTCATGCTTCCTGCCTCCACATATTAAACTCATAATTACACCATATGAATTATAATATGAGCTATGAATAAGTACAGATTGCTATAATAGTAAATAACACAGGTGCCCAAAATTATTTGGTGACCCTGATGTTAATGCTTATTACGTATCTCTATTATGCTTTAAGAAGATCTAACAGAAGTTCCTATTTTAGATATGATACAGAAGAAAGACTGACACTATCTTTATAACACAAGAAAGCTAGGTCTAAGCTAAAAGTTATACTTTCCTTAAATGTTAATGAAGTGTAATGTGTAACTGAACTAAATTGCACACTGGAACAAGTCCTTGAGAGATGAGCAATGAACACCAGCCAGTTACACATCTGAGGCCAATTGCCTAATCTGGATACAGATGGATGATGGAGTGAAAGAGTCAGGCTGAGAGGCTTTGGTGAGATGAAGAGAAATCAGCCAAATCTTTCACAGTGTGGGCTAACATTACAGATTGGAATCTTGGAAAAGCCTGCAAACAAAAATATACTGACCCAACAATTATCCCCTATAAAAATTCTGTTCCGTAAGAAATGATGGAGGCAGTGCTAAAAGAGAAATTTTGCAAATTTTGCAAGAGGTTTAGGTTCCAGGGCTATACCGAAATTCAATCCAAAAGACAGCAAAAACTAACTAAAGCTGAAACCCAGCCCAGCTCAAATCCTGTTAAGATCATAGATAAGCCCCTGGATAGAAGTTTCGGAATTTCAGAGTCAGTCTTAAAGACAAAAAGACTTCTGCAATAGCATCTAAAATCAGAAGTAACTTGAAACTAATTAAAACTGAGACACACTCATTTCGCCAATGTAATGATGAAATCTGAATGACTTATCTATCAAACAGCTAGGAGCCGCAGAAGAAAAAAAATGAGAAAGACATATTTAAGGACATAATAGCAAAATCACCTCCTAACCTGATAAAATATTTCACCTTACAGATCCAAGAAGTTCAGCACATCCCAAATAGAATCCATGAAAATAAAACAACATATAGGAACAACACAGTCAAATTGTAAATGGCAAAGCTAAAGAGAAAACCATAAAGGCAACCAGAGAAAAAACAATAAGAATGACAGCTTATTTCTCTTCAGAAATAATGAAAGCAGACAGCGGAATGACATCTTTAAAGTATGGGGAAAGGGAGGAGTGTCAACCTAGAATTATGTATCTTGAAAAATATATTTTTGAAAACAAAGGTTAAAAAATATTTTTAGACAAACTAAAACTAAGAAAATCTAACACCAGCAGATATATAATAAGAGAAATACTAAAAGAAATTCTTCACACTGAAGAAAAATAAAATCAGAGAGTAACCTAGATCTGCAAGAAAGAATATGAAGGCCTGAAAATGGATAATATGTGAGTAAATACAAAGAACTGCATTTTTTTTCTTGAAGTTTAAAATACTATTAAATGTTTGAAGCACAAACAATAACATATTTTAGGGTTAAAACAGGTGTATACATGAAGTATATGCCAATAATATCAAAAAAGGGAGAAGATAAATTACATTACACTGTTGTAAGATTCTTAAATTATACATAAAGTGATATAATATTATTCAAGGTAAATTGTGATAAGAATGCACACTGTGATCTCCAGAGTAACCACACAAATAAATAATAAATAAAATAAAATGTTTTGCTCAAGTAAACCAATAGGAAAAATAAATCATAATATCAAAACACTTAACCAAGAAAAAGGAAAAGACAACAGGAAAAAGAAGGCAAAAAATAAAAAAGACAAATAGAAAAACAATAGCAAGATGGCAGGCTTAAATCCAACCTTATCACTAAATACATTAATTAGGCAGACTGGATTAAAAAAAATATATATCCAACTATTGTTGATTCAAAATGACATGTTTTAAACATAAGGACACATGCCCAGATCTTATTTTCAACATATTACTCAGCATTAAAGGAACTGGGCTCCTTGGAGAAATCAGTGATATCATGGTTAAGAAGGGAAATGTCCCAAAAAGTGATGGTAATACATCAACAAGGCATATAAGCCAGCATAAAGTTGTGCAAAATAGTTACATCTGGGACAATTTGAGCATTAGAATTAATAGAGACAGTAAAGGAATGAATCAACTGAATGAAGTAAGAATTCATCAATCTGATACGATGATAAGTAGATAATTGACAGATGATACATAGATAGATAGCAAGCAGATACAGAAGGACTCCTTAATATAGAATGCTAAGTAATACATATACAAAGAATTTAAAAATCATAAACTTGTGAAAAATCATAAATTAGTAATTATCATAGAAAAGTTGATTCAGGCAAGAATCATTAATGGATATTATAAGGAGGACATGTGATAACTAATAGAATAAACACACAGTCTCAAAGTATTTCCACACAAACACAAACATTACTTATTACAGACGAATAATAATGATAATTATATAAGGAAAACAGACAACATCTCAACTAATTAATAAAAACTAACATAAACCATAAAGGCCTATAACAATACACAGAGAGAGACTGAGACAGAGACAGAGAGACAGAGAGATAGACAGCAAGAAAGAGAAGGAGGAAATGAAGAAGGAAGGGAGGAATCAATAAATCAAATATGGCAAAATGTCAAAATTGGTAAATTTGGGTAAAAGTACTCCATTCATAATATTCTCAAAATCTTTACTTAATGTTGAAATTATCTGAAAACAGCATGTTTAAAAAAAAAAAGTTTGTAAGTAATAGGAGAGACAAATGCATACCATATAAAATAAGTTATAGCTATATTAATATCAGGCAAAGTAGACATTAAAACTATTCTTGTTTTTAACACAGATAATGTGGGACATTTCATAAAGTTAAAAGGATGAATATAAGATATAACAATATTACCTGTGTATGAACTTAAAAACATATTCAATATATATGAAGCAAAACTTGAAAGATTTAAAAGAAGAAAGAGACAAATCTAAAATTACAGTAGGATAGTTTTAATACTCCTCAGTAATTTGGTCTACTCAGAAAAAAATAGACCAAAAAAAGTAAGGACAGAAAATTTAACAAATTTAATTTGTCATTTAGAGAACACTACACTCAAAAACTGCAGAATACACATTCTATTCACATGAAAATGACACACTACTATAATTGGATTTAAATTTACTATAATGCTAGTTGCTTTCTATTTGTTCCACCTGTTTTATATGCCTATTTAGCTTTTTTGTTGACTGCCTTTATTTTGAGTGTACTTTTTATAATTCCATTTATCTGCACTCTTGGCTTATTAATTTCACCTGTTTTTGAACATTCTTTCAGTATTTGCTCTAGGTCTCATAATATATGTTGAACATATCAGAATATATTTTCAAATAATGTACAATTTCATATATAATGAAGGAATCTTAAACAGTATATCCAATTTCTTTCTCATATTTTTTGTCCTATTATTGGCATACATTTATTTTTACATTTATTTTGAGTTTCACTAGACATTATTACTATTTTTGCTTTAGACAAGTAATTTTCTTTAAGATCAATTAAAAACAGAAGAGTAACATCAGCAAGACAGCAGAACAGGAGGTCCCACATTCACATCCCCCATCAGCAAACTGCTTTTATAGATTTTGTAACCCAGACAGAAGACTGTAAAACCCT